ATATAAGTGCTCAGGCTGTGCTCAGAATGCTGTTGGACCTAGCAAAGCAAGTCAGTGACCAGCCGCACCTTGAACATGTCGTAAAATGGCACAATCCCCAGCAAAGGCAGAAGTGTGCTATAAGCTGTTCGGCTCAATCCAAATTTTTTTGTACCGGGTGCTTGAGGGATCGCGGTCTTAAATGCCCCCCTTCCACCCAAATTCCCCTTTTAAAGTACACAGAAATTCATGTGTAAATCCTATGTCATAACCTTTATTCTCATTAAGCCAACATTAACTAAAAAAAATAGCTGTATTGGTGCATCCCTTTAAATTGTGTTTTTTTTTATATTGTAGGCTGGAATTGGGTTAAGTGGGAAGAGTTTCCTCCAAATGACCAGCTGTTCTGGGCCTTGTGCTGTTTAAGACAGCAAGGATATAATCCCTTCACAGAAGATTTTAATCATCTATACCCAGCCCAGAAATGACCGTGTACGACAAGAGATTTTATGGCCGAAAATAGATTGCCTTGACATTTCCATAATGCGCTTTGATATGGCAACCTACAGTGCTTACCTTCTGTGCTTTCAATGTATCTTCCAGATGCACAAAGTTTTAACAGCCAGGGTTACAGTTTTTTTTTATTTTTTAATGCTTTGCATGTTTCAAGTTACAAACTGTGGAAATGTAGAAATAAAAGCAAAGAATGGTTCAAGTACCAACTCCACCAGGTGGAGATCTGTGGAACCAAGGGAGAAGATGGGCGTAGATTGTACATTGCAATAACCTTGCTATAATAGTCTGTCAAAACATAGTTTGCACTGTAGGCAATAGTATTTTTCATGGATAGAGGTTAAAGGTTTTGAAACACTTTACAAAGCCATAATAGAAGACATTCATTTTATTTGAGATATTCTGTAGCACTGTATGAATACTGAAGTCCTAACTGCACAGATTGTAAAAGCTTACTAAAAGCAGAAGTAAACCGTTTAGTTTTTGCCCTAATGTGCAAAGCACCATTACCTTACAAGTGTGCCCTTCTCCAGCACAGTCAGATTGATCTTTGGTCCTCAGCACTGTTCCCCCGCTTCCGCCATCTCTGCCATTGACACTTCCCAGTTCTCAGAAGTCATCTTTGGCCTTTGGGTGGCCACTATTGATGTATGCACACAAAAGTTACATCCTCCATGGCACCCGGCCCATTCACAGCATCGTAACGCCCGTGACTGTTAGAATACCTGCATAGTGGCGGCAGTCACTGTTCAACCAACATTTTTTTGCCCTGTTCCTTTGATAATTACTTTGAGCTGGTTGGTGCCGGCAGGACCACCCATGGTTAGAATTTCTAACAGTGTGTAGCCTTATGATCTGACAGTAGATAAGGAAGTGACTGATATTTCATGAACCAGTAGAAATCAATGTTTGAGGTCAGTTTCTTTGGGTATGATTTATAAAAGAAGTGAGGGATAAAGAAAGCATCTGTGTTGTTATCAGTTAGATCACCTCCATTTTTGTTCATATATAATATATAAGGGATCCCTATTCTTATACAAAAGTGTGTAAGGGTTAATAGCAGTGTGCAGAAGGTTACTTGAGAATGCTACGACCATGACTTCAATCATGTAGACACAGAGCCTTTAGATCTCACATCTGCGCTTGGCTATGTAGGGACAATGGCTACTCAGCTTAGGCCTGGTACACACCTAGGCATTATATTGTGTGGATTCAGTCGTACGATAACGCACAAAACACATAGAAGTCAATGGCGACAGTTCACACCTTAGCGTTGCGTCGCGCATACCATATCGCACAAAAAGATGCAGGAGCCATTTTCAGGCAGATGCAGCATAGCTTTGGTTCCATAGACATCCCTATGCATTGAGAAAATCACGCGGTTTTTAAAAGGCAAAACAAACGTGCAAAAACAGCTTGAAACCGCAATCGCCCAGGTGTGAACCAGGCCTTAGCTTCTCTGCTTTATTAAATTACTAAAATAGCCAGGCAAAGGGATATTTACATATTTGGAATTGGATGTTGCACTATGGTTTTCCTCAAATAATCCCATAATTATATTACAAATCACATTAAAAGAAAAAGTTTTCTATAGATATATCATCTAGTTTTGTCTTAACAAGGCCCAATATTTATAGAAATAAGGGATAGCACAGGTCAGATTGGCCGTGATGGTGGGCTCATTTTCAGGTACATGTGTATGAGGATAGAGGATCACTCCCTATTCCTAGACAAAATACTTATTTCAGCAAACTGTGTTTTCTTTTCCTGTGCAGAGGAGGACATGCCACTTTACTATTAAAAGAGCAGAGAAATGAGCAATTAACATGTGGGAGGAAAGAAGACAAAAGAGTTTTTTTTTTTTTTATATAGATGTACATGTTGGTGGAAAGAAAAAGGTAAAACAAGTGAAACAGTATAGGAGCGGATTATATATAAATAACCAAAACATAGCAAATGGTATTTTCCATGTTGGAGGGCAAACCTTGCAGTATAAATAGCTGAAGACTTCTAAATGTAACCAAATGGCAGTATGTAACTCACAACATCTATTGATTCTTTATAATGGGTATATGTTCACCTGCAGCCAGGAATACATATAACACAATAGATCATGATGCAATGTATATTTCCAACTTCATTAGGGTACTTAATGCCCAACTCCAGGGACATTTTTGTTTTATTTTGGACAAAGTAAATGTCACCTCTGCCTTTATTATAAAGATTTTTCCCATCACTCCCTGTCAGAACAGGGAATGATGGGAATTATCTTCCAACAGAGATACAGACACAAGCCAGATTTATGGTTTAACACCAAATATATCAATTTACTAACGTGTCAATACAAACTAGTCGTATCTATTAAAATGCATGCTGATCTGTATGCAAGATGCGCCAGAAATTGATCTGGACACATTTGTCGTGCCTCTGGTATTATACGAATATGTGTGTGTCCTGCAACCCCATTGTTATGACTAGAGAGGAATATTTCAAAGTTGCTTTTCGTTACCAAATGGCCAGTAAATACACTTCCATACAAATTATACACACACACACACACGCGTACATGAGTAGGTAATATTGGTCACACAAACTGCACCAAATGACAAGCGTATAGGCAGTGTAAATAGAGATGAGCAAAGCAATCCTTAAAGTACATCTAAAACCAAGTTTTTTCTCTTTTAGTTTTGGATTTAGTGCTGAGGAGTTAGAGCCCTTGTATTTGCCCCGGTGACCACTGTTACTGGTACTTAAAATGATAGGAAAATCCATGTTTGAGTTGATATCAAAACCAGAATAGACGGGAAATCTTCCAATGGTGACAATTGTTCCCTTGACACCAAAACATCCCCTAACATTTGAAGAGTTCCTCTTACCTTCTGTTCGGTCCACAGCACAGGAAGTGATAACAAAATCTCCCCGAAAGTACACGGATGGGGGGAAAAAAACCCTTGAGTTTAACCATTTTGTACTCTATTCAAAGTCAGTACCTTTGGAAATACTTTAATCTGGGAAATCTGATTCTTTTTGTTCACAATTTGCCAGAATATGTAGATGTCAAATGGACAAATTGTGGCAATAAGGAAAATTCTCGGTTCAGCCAATCTGAATTAATTCGATGCATAATTCCTAACATAGGTGAAATCAAGATGTAAATATTGGAGCATGAGAAGCCAAAGAGGATGACATTTGCATATCTATTTGTGAATATATTGTATGTGTGCATCTGATGAAAGGTAAAGTTCTTCTTAGACTTTGTTAATACCTACAAAAGTAGGCACATATAGGGATTCCTGCGTCAGGAAGCTGCGAATTCCTGCAGCAGGAATCCCAAATCTGCCATTTAGAAGCGGCAGCTGTCACCCGTTCAAATTATGATTGGGTGACAGTGGCCGCATTTGATAGTGGCAGTGTGCCGCCACACCTCATGTAAATCGTATGCGATATGATCACATGCAGTTAGGAAAAAGGAACTATGGATCTCTTCCTAATCGCAAGTATAAATCATTGTCCCCATATAAACGATGCATCTAGGGACAGTGAATTATTGCTGACTGTATGTAAATTGTACCACATACAGTCACATGAGGAGTGCCAACGCACTACCAATTTCAAATGTGGCTGTCACCCAACAATGAACTTGAACGGGTGACAGCTGTCACTTCTCTATTGGAATATTTTGGATCCTGCCACAGGAATTTACAGGTTCCTAACGCAGGCATCCTAGCAGGCAGGAGAAGTGAACAGTCTAGGACAACATAGCTGAACTGGAACAATTCTCCCATTCAGCTCACTTTCCAGTTCAGCTATGTTGTCCTTGATTGTTCCCTTCTCCTGCCTTCTGCAAACTCTTCACCCTTTTGTGAATAGCCCTGTAAAAGTCTTTGTGAATGCCCAGGTACTTTTAATAATTAGAGACTTGTTCCCTTTCAAACTCAGCTTAACTACACTGAAGGGAAAGCAGACTGCAGAATTTGGTGGCATTGAGACCAGCGTTCCTGTCCATCATAATCATTCCTCCCAGCAGATAAGAACAGTATATATACAGGTATAATGCCAAAGCCACAGAGACCTTAAATCCCCATGAAATTCCAGTAACTGGGTTATACATTTCACAAGCTAATATTTATAAATATAGAACAGCATTTCATTTTCATTACAAAAATCTGTATTTAGAAATGTCACAATGCTAATATGTACACTTTAGCATATACAAGCATACCACTATGTGTGATCACAAACCTATATACATACACACAGGTATGCAGATGAACTTATATACAATAACAGTGGTGCCAACTTGTTCTTGCTACAAAAATATAGTGGGTAACAAAGAATTAAAGACCATTTATGGAAAAATACATGTTAAAAAAAACAAAGGGACAAAATGAATACATGAAAAGAAAGGAAAAAAAAAAAAGAACAGACCCTCAGCTATATGACAATTACACTAAATCGATGAACACAAAATCTCCTAGATCATAGGACTGAAAAGGTGGTTCAGGAAGGAAAAAGTTCAGTTTGTATCAATAGAAGATCCAGGTGTTATGTGTTGCCCAATAGCGAGTAAAGTTTTAAGGTCCGTATTTAGCTAGTCAGAATCACTGCTGCTGCTGGAGGAATCTGTAGACATCACTTCAACATCATCTTCATTCTCTTTGTTGGGCCCCAGAGATTCCATTAAGAAGTCATTGCTGTGGTTTGGAGGCAACATGTTTATTGACATGTCATTCGACTGCCATGGGTACTGAGGAGCCAGGACATCTAGGAAAACCAAATATACAATTCATATTAAACTAGATTAAACAGAGCCTGCCCAATGACAATAGCATGGCTGCCACCACTTACTTGTTTAAGTGACAAGCTCAGGGGCTGTCATTCTGGTCCTACTAACTAGAAACAAGTATGCCATTCAGGAATCTCAACATATATGGCTGTATAATAAGTTCCAAGTCAGTGACCAAGTAGTAAGTCAAAGGAAAGAATGGCAGCCCTGGAACTTGCATCTTTTACAAATATGTCAGTAGCTGCAGCTTCCATATTTCTATCCCGATACGTGTCTTATGTCATAGATACTAGGGATGCACCGATACCGAGTATTTGGGCGAGTATTTGTTGCTAGGCAGCCTGGCTTCCTGACCAATCATGACCTGCCGCCCGGCTTCCTAATTGGCTAGGAAGCCATGCAGCCTCGGCAAGTGAAGCCTGTGTTCTTTTGATAGAACACCAACTTCCCAGGCAATCAGGAAGCCGGGCAACGGGTCATGATCTGCCGCCCGACTTCCTGATAATAGGAGCATACAGCACCGGTATCTGTACTGGTGAGTACCAGGGGGAAAAAAAAATATCGGTACTCGTGCCCACTGAAAAAACAGTATTGGTGTATCCCTAATATAAATAAAATAAAACCTTTTGGTAAATTTAAAATATGAACTCTGGGTATAAAGAATTATATATACTTATGACATATTGTACCTGGCCAGCCCACAGGGATCATGCTCTATAGTACCCGGAGCTACTACAGTGGTTTACAGAGATCTTCCAGGTCCTGTATGTTGCTGGGATGAGTGGCTCTGTAAACACGGGGGTCACTCTCTCAGCACAGTATATAAGTATACATAATGCTTTATACCTGGAGTTCAGCTGCAAAGGGTCTAACAATTTGCTACAAAACGTGGTCCAAAGAGTTAACTGGTGTCAAAGTCCAATTAAATCAACAAAAAATATATTAGATGAGACTGAAAAATTATAACTAAAAGGGGGGTAAGGTTTCTCCCTCAATATCTACCTTTTAGTGAAAGTAAAAATTCATTTAATTTTTTTTTATTCTAATAATTTCAAAATACCAAAAGAAACCATAACAATGAAAAATCTAAATTTACACAAAAATGTCCTTAAAAGTTCATAATGAAACAAAAAATGTGTATAATTACAAAACAAGCTAATGTATTTATGCATTTAGCATCAAAGTAGTGAACTACTGTATCATGCATTAGAATATTACATAAAGATGCTTGGACAACAAAAACAAAAAAAGAACTCCCGCTATTTTAGTGGTAGGATCAAAAAAATCCCTTCCCCCCATCATTTAACTTACCTGGAAGTCTTCCTGCTGCCAGTGCATCCCCAGGCAAATGACCATTAACGCCATTCGTAGGTAGGTTACTCATCTGACCCAATAAACCACTCCGCATCTCCAGGTCTGTGGGGTAAGGGCGACGTGGATCCCCTTAAATGAAGAAATATAAATACAGATACATTTTGTGCAGTTATACTGGAAACATTATTCAGGTCAACAAAAAAAATCAATATATCTCATGCCAAAACACTGGCAGGTTTAATCAGCATCATATATGGCCATGCCATATCTTGGCTGGTTTAAATAAAGCTGCCACAAACTGGAGTCATTTAAACTCACATAAGATGGAAAAGCAAACACAAGCAGCAGGTTACCTTCAGTGACAACTAGCTGTCAAAATGAAGATCAAGAATTAAAGACAACTGAATTTATATGAAAATCTCAAAGGTCCTCTAAAAAAAAAAAAAAACTTGTGGCAGGACTTGCTCTTACTATCTACTTATTGCTCTTTAATGTCAAGGAAGGCCTTACTGACCAATAAAAATTCTCCCCATCATATGCCAAGTGTAAATTTTCCAGGTTAGTGACCATTTGACTTTAAAGCCCTTAAAAGGTTTAAAAACAGGCTAACACTCTCCATTCCTCAGGAGAACATCGCAGGCATACTTCTAAGTCCTGCTAATCATTTAGCTTATATACTACTACAAATATTTATATAGCGTCAACAATTTTACGCAGCACTTTACATAGTTGCACATTCACATCAGTCCCTACCCTCAAGGACCTCACAATCTAAAGTCCATATTTCACATACAGGGCCAATTTTAGACAGGAGCCAATTAACCTTCCAGCATGTCTTTGGAGTGTGGGAGGAAACCAGAGTACCCGGAGGAAACCCACGCAAGCACAGGGGGAACATGCAAACTCCTTGCACATAGTGACCTGGCTGGGATTTGAACCAGGGACCCCCAGTGCTGCAAGGCAGAAGCGCTAACCAAAACTGGAGCAGCTGTGCATGGCAACCAATCAGCTTCTCACTTTAATTTTCAAATCTTAACTGAACAAACTGAAGAGAGAAGCGGATTGGCTGTCATGCACAACTGCTCCAGATTTTATAAATCTCCCTCTCCTCAATTCACAAACTGAGCATGGGGTTGTCTGCTGTGTGAATTTTTAGGAAGAAATGGAGGTGATGTGACCATAACACTGAGGTCAGAGGCAGGAGCAGCCAGGAAGTGCCTGTCAGAATGGCCAGGGGTTAGGCTGTGACAAGGAGGTTCTAAAAAGCTGCTGCAGGTATGTTCAAGCAAATCCAAAGTGCACACACATTCCTGCAGCAGCAGCATTTTTGGAGTTTTCATTACAAAATGTCTTTAATGATGGGTAACAAGGATGTGCACCACAGCCTAACACAACACAGCAATAAATAAAGAAAAAAAAGAATCCAAGTTCTTACCTGGAACCCATGTTTGTGGAGCACACACTGCATTGCTTGCACTAATCCGATGGGCATATTTAATCAGTTCTTCAGAAGAGATGGAACCTGTAAGACACAAAACAAAATGCACAATGTAGTTTTTATCCCAAATATGTACACAAATGGATTTTTCGACTGGCCTATTACAAATCTGAAATGGAAAAACGCCGCAAAGAAGCTCATGTACCTTTTCAGGCGTGGGCCGTTTTGTAGCGCGTTCAGACGGACTGAAATACGGCAAGGTGTGAACCATACCCATAGAAAACAATGGGATTTTCATGTTTGAGCGTTTTGTAGAGTGCTTGGAGAGCGTTGAACGCGCTACAAAACGTACAGGTGTGAACCAGGCCTAAAGGCACAACCAGAACTACTAGTAAGAACTGTGTAGGACAGCCCCAAACTGAAGGATGCTTTAATAAAGTTGCTTGAAAGTGTGTTTAATATTTGTAAATGCTTTAAAGGCTTGCTATACACTGCTTTTATACAAACTCATTCATGCCTGTGTATACACAGCCTAAATGTGCAAAGTATACAACAAGTACATATTATGAGGGGAGCAGACAGAATATGGAGCAGTTGGCCATGGCCACAATGAGCTTCTCAATTTCATTTTCAAAGCTTAACTGAGCAAACTGAAGAGAGAAGCTGATTGGTTGCCATGGGCAACTACTCCAGCTACTGTCTGTTCCATTTTTGAAAAATTCACCTCTATAAGTATGCATTGTAAACCAAGTACCAACCTGACATGTATATAGCATTTATAATGCATGCAGTTTTCTGAAGATAATATTTTTACAGTAGGGACCTTCAGAATGGAAATTAAACTCAGAAGAGGGTTAGGAATTGCACTAAATTATCAGTTACCACCACGTCATTTTTTTTTATTTACAAATGTAAATAAATTTATCAGTAATCCATACAGTTGAACAATAATTGCATGCAAGATGACTGGGCTTTATGGCAGCAAGATGCTGCAAACCCTTGATCTCCAATCCCAACTGTTGCACCAAAGTAGAAAAAGTTTACCTAGAAAAATTAAAGAAGAAATGGGCTGAAATCTCTTGACAAAAAATGAGCACACCAACCTTTTCTTGCTTTGTCTATTGATTTCAGCTTTTCCTTTGCTTGGTATACAGCAGTAGCCTGTGAAGTAAAGAAAATGACTTTAGAGCAATTTAAACTATAAAAAGAGTTTCTAGAATATAAGGGTTTCACTTGTACATCAGCTTCTATAAATGTTCTCCTGGCCATTCGACGAACAGACAACAGACTGAACAAATCTGCAACCAACGTCACTGAATATATTAAACTAACTTAAGATGCTTTTATTTCTCTTTTAGTTGGTAAAAAAAAAAGTAACTACATTTTTAGCAGCCACAAAAAAGCACATGAAGGGAAATCGTGCTTTTAGACAATCCACTCACTGCCTAGACCTTATCAAAATGTGAAATATAAATACAGACCTCACTTCCAGACACAAATATAAAGCCACTGGGCTCAGTCAAAGGGAATTATGGCTACCTTTAGTACATGGGCCACTGCAGATATGGATGACCATTATAAACTAGGGTCAGGCAATCCTAGGGTTAGGAAACAAAAAGATCAGGACTGTCCTTCACAGGCACTATAACAAAGTCAGGATTTTCATGCACATTTGTGCAAGTAAACCACACCTTGCTTAACTCATTACGGTGTGTTATTCAGATGTATACTAGTCTGTGCAATAAATTAGTAGTCCTGAATGCAGTTGGCCCATGGGCATTAAAGGATCATTTAAAATAAGCAACAACCCCTAATTTTTGAACTTGGGATGGAAGTTTTTCATCAGTTTTGAAAAGGCTCTGCATAGATTTAGAGGAGGGCTTTTGGCTCCTGTAACTTTATCTCAGAATAAATTGTCTGGTTATACTATCTCTTTGGTCCCCTGTCCACTAGCTCACAGCCATAAAAGCCATGGTTTCCACATACTACACTGACAATAGCCAACTAACCTGCAACAACTGTATGCAGTTTGGAAATAATGGCCCTAGAATATCAGACGTTGTGGTATATGGCACAGATGCACCAGATCTGTGCTATGTATGAGGAACAAACCAACCTCTGTCCTGCATCATAGAGAGGTCATGGCTCTCAATGAATGGGATGGATAACACTGACACTGGCGACTGTCATGTAGATTAGAGCACATTAATGGCCACCTACCAGTATGTGTTCTGCTTCTTTCAGCTGTTTTTGTAGTTGCTGGATATCACTGTCTCTTTTCTCAACTTCCTTCTCCAGAAGCAGCATTTCTTGGTGTATCTTCCCTTGACTGTATGCCACCTTCATCAGTTCCTGAAACTCTCCATCTTTCTGTATTAAAAGCTCTAAAATCTGAGAAAAAGATTACAAGTAAAATAACTGATGCCAGAAATTCCACAGCATTCTATCAACTTGCCCAAACACTGCTTTTAACAGCATCCAATGTGGAAATATCAGTTTTTGTTGGGGACTGGTGAACTGAATCACCTGCCAGCTTTTAGATCTAATAATGAGATTTTCCTCAAGAACTTTGGGGGGAATTTATCAAAACTGGAGCAGACAGAATCTGGAGTAGTTGCCCATGGATGGCAACCAATCAGCATATCTCTTCAGTTTGCTCTGGAGAGAAGAGAGAGAGGAGAGAAGAGGAGAGAAGAGAGGGGGGGAGGAGGGGGGGGGAGGGGGG